ACCTAAACGACGGTATGTCCGTCTACTGAGATGTCTGCGCAGCTTCTTCCTGCTTGACCGATCTACCTCTGAGCGCACTACACTAGACAATGCCACTCCACTTCCACCGCCACACTTCTGCTGGATAGGACGCGGATTCAACGGGACAAAGTCGCCCGACTCCAGCGCCAAAGCAGCTCATGGACTTGCACCCAATACACTCGGTTCCGCCAATACCCTCCATGAAGCAGGTGATCATCTTCCTCCAACCTCACTCCTTCTCATCCGCCAGTTAGAACAGGCTCTCTATGCGTCATTTTATGCACTACCTTGTGATACATAGCGTCGGTGGAGCTTTAACCAGCCTGGTCGACTTTGCTGTAGAAAGCTCATCCTTCTTTGAATTAAAGTACTAGAAAGCTCATCCCTCTTTGAATTAAAGTAAGTTGCGCACTTGTCCACCGCCGCACATCAATAACGCGATCGCCAGATGCCAACAATACAGACAGAATCAAAACATCTAAACCTAAACGACGGTATGTCCGGCACTGAGATGTCTGCGCAGCTTCTTCATGGTATCCTTGACAGTCCAACATCTGAGCACACTATACTAGACAATGCCACTCCACTTCCACCGCCACACTTCTGCCGCATAGGAGCGGATGCAACCGGACGACGTCGCCCGACTCCGGCGCCAAAACAGCTCATGGACTCGTAGCCAAACACCCGGTTCCGCCAGTAAGTACCCTCCGTGAAGTATTGAGTCTTCTCATCCGCCAGTCCTAGGACAGGCTCTCTATGCGTCACTTTATGCGCTACCTTGGGCTACGTAGCGCTCGTGGAGCTCGCACCAGCCTCTCGAGTCTCCACAACGTCGCGATTGGCGACTTTGTCGTGCAAAGTCCATCCCTCTAGAATTGAACACCTTGCTTTGCGCATTTGTCCACGGCCGTACATCAATAACGCGATCGCCAGCTGCCAACAATACAGACGGAATCAAAACATCTAAACCTAAACAACAGTATGTCCGTCTACTGAGATGCCTCCGCAGCTTCTTGTTGGCTCATGCTATCCTTTACAGTCCAACATCTGAGCATACCCAGCCAATCTACACCCACCGTCACATTCCTGAGCGGATGCAACGGGACGACGTCGCCCGACTCCAGCCTCATGGACTTGCAACCAATACACTCGGTTCCGGTTCACTTCATTCAAGTGGTGAGCATTCAACGCGTAATGTCCGAGAGTTTCTGCTAAAAATATCCCGGCAGCGCAATATCCTCATCCGGGAGGCGCAGCTATGTGCGTTGACGAATTTGCACTCCCAGGCCAAGTTTCCAATACAGGAGTCGTGCTACCGGATCGTACAGCACAGCTGTCTCGCCAACCGGTTTATGCAGTGGCAACTGTGTAGAGTACAATCGGTATATGCTGTTTTTTGTGTTCCTTTAAATTCAGTGTGCTCACTTCAACTTGCTAGGCCTCCCGTGGATTTTCATCATCTCATCCATAGTGCCTGGTCTTTGGAATGGTGATTCAAAACGCCATAAACGGAGATATGTGCCGCTGATCTCATTCTGAGTAGGACATCAGCCTTGACTGACAGAACGTGTTTCTACTCAAACCGTGCCTTCGAAACCCGGCTCGTTTCACGTAGATAAACTATTCCGCTTTGCGGACTCCGGTAGCGACAACATCAAGGTACTGCCGGCATGTCCGTACACACACGCGCGTGAGAAACACAATCAACTTTACTATCCACCACCATGTCCACGAATCCCACCGCCTTAACACCAGTGCACCTCTCCCAGCTCTTAAATTTCCCCGCTATTTCCGACGTCGACCATCCACCCACCGTTGATGCCCTCGAGCAACGTCTTTCCAAGCTCAATGACATCCTCGAGCAGATCATACCAGAACGGGACCGCGTAAAACATACCCTCATCCTCCATCGATCCCCCATCCATCGCCTCCCAACCGAGATCCTAACGATCATTTTCCAACTCACCACTGACACCCAGTGGGATATTGCATCTAGCGACTTCCCGTGGTGTCCCCTCTTCGTATGCAGATCATGGCACAACATCGCCATATCCACACCATCACTCTGGGCATCCACGTTCCTCGTTGACGGAGCGAGCAGCGTGGTCCGGACGCGTCTTCCTCTCGTCCTAACGCGTTCCCGCAGGCTGCCGATCTCTTTTGTCATCGCAAACATCGGCGCGCGCATGAAAGGAGACGACTCACCCGATTTCACGGGCTTCGAGCTCCTCTCACAACACGTCGGGCGCTGGAAACACGCGTCCTTCACACAATGCCTTAACGCCCTTGAATGGGCGAGAGTCAGCAAGGACCATCCCCCAGTCTCCTTCACCTGCCTCGAAACCATGGTCATCTCCCATCTCCACGACGTCGAGCGGCACGATTTCGCCTTCTTCGCCCCAATCGCACCGCGTCTCCAAAAAACTCACCATCGTCGGCGGCAATTTCGATCTCCACCTAGCACCCTTCGCCAAGGAGCTCATATGCAAGAGAGTCAGCTTGGGCGCACAAGCCAACTTTCTCTCGCGCTCTCCACATAGCGCCGAGACGTTCACTTCTGCTGCGTCCCTCCCGTGGCCTAGCACACATTCCTTCCATCACCCCAACCTTACGCGAGTAAGCGTGAACTCCGAATCATTCATGCTCCTCGCCACGGCCAGCATGCCTAACCTTAAGCACCTCGCGGTAACGCTTGGGCTTATCAACAAGCAACATCTCAATATCATCGAGAGACTTCTTCAGCGCGCCGAGATCAAACTCCATTCGTTTTCCCTCACACTTACCCGACCGTACGAGGACCCGGATATCCCAGACGACATTGCTGCTTCCTTGGCGACTATCCCCACGCTCCAAGAGCTATCGATATCGTTCTCCGACGAAGACCGCTACAACCAATGGGATCCTTGCTATGCGGTTCGCGTCCTCCACTACCTTATATCTCGTATCGAGTTCTTCCGCCTTCGACCGCTCAACACGCTCCGCATGGCCTATTTCGTCGATATGGACCGCACGCCATCTTTCGATAACTTCTTTGTTATTCCTGTATCGGAACGCGCGCAGCTTTGGACGCGACTCGAACGTTTTGGGTTGACCGTTAAAGTAAAGGGTGGGGCCGAGGCCACGGAAGGAGGTATGGATGCGGAGGAACTAGAAGAGCTGGCGAGGACGTTGAAAGCGAAGACTATGCAGGCGCTTAACAGCCCGCTGCTGCATGACGTTCAATTTGATGTTGTTTATGAGGTAAGTCGCTCGATAATTTGAAGGACATCGTGAGTAAACCGAGACCCTTCAGGCTGTGACACCGTCGGAGGAAGAACTAGAGCAGATCAGGGAGGCTAAACGGTTGGCTACAGCGCGCAGGACTCCTGATTCCTGGCGCGACAATATCCCATACTATCGAGATTGGTATTCAGAATCTGAATAGACAGCAGCGGGTTTGGTATTAAATAATGGACTTCGGGTAGCATAGCATCAATACAAGTGTACAAGTGCATTTATAGCTCCCGTTGAAGTTCGACGTCTGAGTAAGCTCAATATCGTCTCCCCTTGGCAGACTCGTACCTCGCTGATGAAGCTCGATAGATTAGTTGACGGGTAACAAATGACGCCATTCTCTCAACTATATAATCTGGACGGGCTCCGAGGCACTTCTAAACGTTATTCATTCCAATATGTCGATGCCCGATGAGCACATCCATCCATGCGCCACGGAGCGCGCAGCCCAGACGGTCGCGGAACATCAGCAGCCACAGGAATTGGTCTTCTGGTCGGGCTGGGTGCGTGTTATCATTCTAAAATCCACCGAAAATCTGATGTTCCTTCGGCCAGTTCTGTCCGTTTGTGCAACGCACTTGGATCAGCCTCGAAGAAAAGGGAATTCCATACCAGTACAAGGAGGTTAATCCTTACAAGAAGGAACAGCATTTCCTCGGTGAGTACTTCATATTTAAAGGACGTACACTCCTACTCACCCGAATAGATATCAACCCCAAGGGCCTTGTCCCCGCCATCGAATACCAAGGCCGCGCACTCTACGAATCCCTCATCCTCTGCGAATTCCTCGAAGACGCCTTCCCGTCCTCCAATCCCAAAATGCTCCCACGCAACCCCGCGGAACGGGCCTACGCGCGCATCTGGATCGACCACGTCGCCAAATCATGTGTCCCGTCCTTCTTCCGGCTTGTCCAGTTCCAGGAGCCCGAAAGACAAGACGCCGCGCGGGACGAACTGTATACGGCGCTGCGTGCGTTCGCTGGCAAAGTCAAAGGCCCGTACTTCTTCGGAGACGAGTTCACCATGGTGGATGCGGCGATCGCACCCTGGATCGTCCGTGACCACGTCATCGGCGAGTTCCGCGGGTATAAACGAGCGGAGGTGAGTAAAGAATGGGCAGAGTACGCAGGGATTGTGGAGAAGAGGGAGAGCATCGCGAAGACTACGAGTGTAAGAGGATCTGTCGAAGTGATGTTGTCTTGAACTGATTGATGTCCAGGCGAAGGAGCACTACACGGAGATATATGGAAGGTACTTGCACAATGAGTCTCAGAGCGAGGTAGCAAAGGCAGTGAGAAGTGGAAGGGGACTTCCGTAGATGCATGATTTCTTGCATAGCTGCGGAGTGAAATCTACGCGTGTATTGAAATGATACTTCGTTCAGCATTCAAATGACCACATTACACGTAGATGACACGCTGAGGTAGGCGAGGTAGAACGGTCTAGAGGCGTGAAAATGGTACAAGGCGATTGGCAACGATTGGCTGACTTTGCTTCCAACGTCAACCTGCCTCCAACTGACTCGTCCACAATGCGCTGGTCAGATTGAGTATACCCAGCTAGTATATATGCGTGATACACAAGGCGAGCTCGGTTATAGTGATCCTGGTGGTGCAAGGGTGCCTTCCATTCAACCCAGCTTCAAGCGGCGTTCTGTTGAATGAAACCGATAGACATTGAAGGATATATTTATGCAATGACTCAGATCCCTCTTAGCTCAGTGGTAGAGCCCGCCATATCAAGAAGTTTCACCTTCCAATGGCAAGGTCAGTCGTTCAAATCGGCTAGAGGGAAGTTGGTGACGGTGTGAAACTTTTTGGCATGTTTGACTTCTTTGACTAACGCCACAATACTTGGCGGAAGTGTTACATAGGAATACCATCTTTAACGACTCCTGACACGGACCAAGGCCCCTTGTACACCAAATCTGGACTCCCGCTCGCCCACCGCAGCTCGATGTCCTTGAGTAAGCATCGATAATGTGGGCCCCAACGGACTCCTGCTAATTTGAAGCTTCGCATTTGCTCTCAGCTTGTCCGAACCACTCCTAGAGAGACTTCGTAGTGTTGTGTGCCATGTTGAATGGCGTCGCGGCTTGACTTGGAGCTTTAAGAAATGGGATGCCAGTGATGTGTGGCGCGACTTTCAGACGCTCTTCTGCTCTCATCTATGTGTCAGATGGGGATACGAACTTGCACGAAAGAACTCACCCATATGAGATGAAAGTGGCGGTTGGCGCTCCTTCATACTTCGGACTCGGACGTTAGAAAGCACGATTGGGGCAGAAGTTCTTACCATGGATTTCTTCGAGGCTCTTTTCTTCAAGGCTCCTACTCTTCAGAAGTACGGATGACAAACAAGCTGTGGTCATGGTGGCCGCCCATTTCCTGCCTGAGATTTTTTTTGTTAAAGGTACGCCTAGTTTATTTTCTTCCAATAGGGGTGGGATGAAGTATCGACGGCGAGAACCCCGAGCCTGTTGAAGGCTCGACGTGAAATCCAACACATTGAATGCGTTAATCTGCTTCACATCTTCGTCGGCGACGACAGGAATCTGAACAGGCTCCTTTTAGACTTCTCCTTGAAGACAATGACAATAACGATACCTTCAAGTTCTCCTTCTGCCTCTCGGCATTCTGGCTTCCGGGGACGATAGCCACACCGCGCGCGAGATGCCACCCAAGGATGAGTTGGTTCGGTGTGATTGAGTTCTTCGCGGCAAGCTCGACGATCTTGGGATCATTGCGCACGATATCGTGACCTTTGACAGGTAAGTATCAGGCAACGGTTGATGTCACGCAGAAATCTCTAACCGGACGGGGTGTAGGCGCTGACGACGATTCCCTTGTCTTTACAGTACTGTCGTAGCTCCTCCTGGACGAGATATGGGTGAAGTCTATACATCTGATATCAGCGGGAATTTCAGTATTACACGAGGAGCGCGTACTCGACCTGATTCACAGCAGGGACGACTTTCGCCGTCTTGAACAACTGGTCGAGACTACAAGCGGGATAAGCTTTGCGCATCGCAGCAGGTTCAAGTGTCCTCACGTTTTCGGGGAGAAATTGCTAACTCCAAGGGCTTTGACTTTTCCTGTCTCCAGAAGCACCTCCATGTCAGCCCAAATGTCATTGAGGGTTACACTGTCATCGACGCGGATCGTTCCATCGGGGTTGGTTGGGAAATCGTTCCCCTCTAGTAGAATGTTTCATAAGTACCCTGGATATGGCTACCGGCCTTGTGAGACGCACCTTCGTACGCGACGGGAATGGGGAGGTGAACTAGATACTAAATGATTTCATGAACACGAATGGCGGAGGTACCAATGTAAACAGGCATACCAGATCAATATAGTCGACGTCTAATTCCTTAAGACTGTGCTCAAAGGCTTGCTTGACGTTTCCGTGAGCATTCAATCTATACACAGGCGTCAGCGGCGAAAACAAGCCGGACAAGAAACCGACTCACGCCAGCTTGGTAGTCAGGAACAGTTCATTACGAGGAATACCCGACTTGCGCACGGCAGCTCCCACGGATGCTTCGGTATCTGTCAGGACATTCAGAGGATATTTAGGACGAGAATACAATGTCGGCCAACGAACAATAAACGGCGGCAGTGTCGATATGCCTGTATCCTGACTACACGCTTGGCAGTCATTGACGACAGACATGCTCTCCGAAGAGTTATTACCTCAAGGGCAGTCAACAGCCAGTCTCTCGCCACGAATTGTTCTTCTGTGGTGGTGCCCGCCCAGCCGCCGAGAGCTATCAGTTCGTGAGTCCGAGAGCCGCTGTTGTTTCAATATCGACACACCAATCATGGGCATCTCAGCACCCGTGTTGAGCTTGACAGTCACAGCCGAATCGATAAAAGACATCTTGTTGCCAGTACTCGGTGATATGATCCTGGCAGACTTTATACTACATTGCCCGAACAGATCTTAATAAGCTTCAAAGGAAGTAGTTTGTAATCAACTACGTCTTTCATTAGAGAGCAAATGCCGTTCGTAACGGGAAAGGACTTACGGACTAATAATGATCCAATGTCGAGGAGTGGCACCATTTGTTGCTGGATCGAGTCGAACACTGCATACAGTCCAAAATAACGAGTAATCGTGACATGCTTGCTTGGTACACGCACCGCTCCCGGAAGTAGCACAGTGATACCTTCATTTGGTGGCGAGGTTACCCGGAGAGGTAGACGTTCGTCTTGCGGATAAGAACGCCTGAACGAGGAGGTGATGGTCGGAGTTGAAAATGAAACGATCAACGATCGACTTTTCCCGCAACTTCCATCTAGGCAACGACGCGCTCAGCAGCCCCAGCCTAGCACGCGCCTCCGAAGATCTTTGGACGCGTGTCTAGTAGTCTGGAGAATGATGCAAATAAGTAAGTACTTACCGTACTAACTTGGCTTCCTTGGCAGCTTTTCGCTGAAGAGTCGGTCTTTAGAGAGTACAATTCCGCGGGATCCCTAGTACCTGGTACATATATCGATCAGCAAAAGCTCATGGCTCCAACTTGTGCGACTGAGCTTCCATGCGTAAATTGCCATGTTCGACCAAGACCGCTAGTTCTGCATCGCACAGTTCTAAATTTGACGCCTGGGCAGCGTTCATCCTGAAGTCTTCATTGACTTGAAATTTCTGCCCGGTCTTCATGGTTTTCACAAACACGACGAATGTCGGGCTGACGAGTTTGTCCTTTCCGAGGGTATGTTCGAGTTAACCGTGATGCCCTCTGACACTCACGACGGTCTTGTTCAGCGGATGACAAACGAAGTCCCCTAATTCAATTTCTCAGTGGCGTAAACGAACGATGGCCCGAACGCAGCTACATTCGGAATTGCCTACGCCACACATTAGTCGATCCGCCAACGTCGTATTCGCCCTGGCCCTGTACAGCTTGCCGATATCAAACAACTCTACACATGGCCGCGTTTTCGTACTGTGGGTGACCATTCTGCTCTCCGTGGACGGCAACCACGAAATCATTGTCTGCCCAATCCGGTAATTTCCATGGTTCAGTCCACTGTGGACTGAGCGGCAACCCTTAACGGTGGCCGGCTGGCGACCGCGACAATGGCTATAAAGACGTCGTCGTGGTTCTTCCAGACACATTCCTCTTCCTCAGACCTCACCTGTAATATCCCACTTTATCTGTGCTGTGCACATTCACACTTTCCTCTTATTCACAACTATGCCTGCCGACAAAACATCCGCCGCTAAAGCAGCTCGCGTCCGCGCGCGTAACGTGCAGCCAGGCAAGAGCTCGCCTTCCACTAGGCGTCGCACCAATCCCATCACGCCGCCAGCTGCGATCGAACTTGCGCCCCCTTCCGCGGCGTCCAGGCGGGAGCTCCTCCCATACGACTACATTCCTCCATGCCCCAGAACTTCCACTAACATCTTTGGCGCCCATTTCGTCTTGCTGTCCAAGAAATCACGCCCCACACGCCCTACAAAGTCCATCACGAAGAAAGCGTATAAACTCTGGATGTCATTCAGCGAGGAGGAGAAGCTGCCCTACGAGATGCTGGCTAACGCGGAGATGGACCTCCACAAGACGCGGTTCCCGGAAGGAAGGGAGCCTCAGAAGCGACTGATTGTGCCAATGCCATTTGCGGTGCAGTGGAGCGTCGCGACGGACCATCTCTTCGTTATCGATGCGCAAGGCGCGATTCAGTACGCGCCGGTGCCTGCTGATGATGCGCCTATGTTTGTGCCCTACGAGGTGGATGGTGACAGTTATACGGGTGTTATGGACTATGCATACTTCTCGTTTGTTTACGCGCCCATACCCATTGATCTCGAATTCCCTGCGGAGTCGTCCAACTGCGTTGGCGGTCAGCTCTCCACTGTCGATGACGATCTCATGGATTGTGATCCGCCTGCCTCGGACGGGCTCATGGATTGCGATCCATAGATTATGGCGACGCTACGGTACGTGGCTTTGTTCGTGAATGTTCGTCTGCTTACTCGTAATCTGGCGTAGTTCCCGGCTCCTCCCTTCCACACTACCTCGGTGCTCTTCAATAACTACTTTAATATGGCCTACCTATGCTTTCTCGCCCTTCCTCACTTGCATACCACTCATTGTCCTACTATACGACGTACACATTCCTTTCCTTATTACTTACTATCTCCTATGTCATCTATCTGATTCTTTCTCATCGTGTCTTTACCTATGCTGTTGTTTCAGTTCTGTTGTACGTGTGTGTTTCAAATGTACGAGCCATACCCAGTTTTATGAACGCGCTTTCCGCAAGATATTTGCTTGAGGGTCGGATGACGTCACCAGCTTTATTCTCTTCTTACCTCCATGGACGACTGGCGCAGTGCCGGCAGAAGCGCGTCGGTGGGCCCGACGCCGCGGCAGGACCATGTACATCGCATGGAGCGTGTCTTGGTGGACTGGGACCAAGGACGTGGCATAGCATGACCGGCGATGACGAAAGCAGTCAGGAAAGACGCGTTGGATAGCTTGACTCAGACTGTATGCGCGGATATGGTCGTGGTTGTGACCTGGGACATGCTCCGAAAACGCTAGGTGACGGTGTACATGCCAATATGCCGACCTGGCCAACGTCGACAACTCGCGCAAGACGCAATCGTAGGCGATGGAACGCGAACCTCGGATTAACAATAGAGGCGCATGAACTCGCTAAGGATCTGGTACAGCACCCATATCGCCCCCGACGTGCGTGGACGAGGAAGGCTCAAATTCCCGCCGCGATTATGATCGCCTTCAGCAATCAGCGATATTATTCATTTGTATGCGTCTCTTTCCCGTC